GATAATTATAAGGGAAATGTTATACCTTTACAAAATCATAGCAAACGAACAGATTGATGAAAATTAAAAATTCAAACGCTAACGTTTTTCATTAAATTGTTTGTCTACATTTTTATGGAATTAAAAAACATACTACGTTCCCATTTGGAAAAAAACGAGGTCCATATTAGTTTTACGAATAAGGGATAAAAGAATATAAGAAAAAAATAATTTTCGAAATGGTATTCATCTTTTCCCAGAAAATGAGTGTCTTACATCTGATGGATCATCTCTGTGTATAAGTGTCTAATTGACTTTCCATGGTGAAAATATTGTACTGAAAAAAAGTCAGTGTATGTATGACTAAATGACAATGTGAAGTGTCCTATGGGGATTTCCCCGCTAATAGTTATATTTATCGCTCCGGACCGAGGTCATTCCACCTAACCTAACCAGTTACCGAGGTAACCGCGGTAACCTATCATTAGATTAGAACCGGGTTTGGCGTGAATGTCACCCGTAGGAATGAATGAATGGCGGCCGGCGGTGTATTTATTATTATATATAAATTCACTTATCATATTTTCTAAAATAGCTAGGTATGAAATTCGATTGATGAACTAGCCGGCGGGCGGCGCGGCACAACGCTAGTTCGTAGGAAACACTCGAGTGTGTGTGTATAGATAAGGTCTTTTTTTAAATGTTTAATAATATTGATTGCGTGCACTATGATGAAATTCAAAAAAGCGAGGCGAACAATATCCGAGAAAAAGATGACTATTTCACGGAAACGCTTTACCGTTTTGTAATCTTGTCTATGTGAACGCCAAATTCTTGATAACGCCGTACTTGAATCGTTATTGCCGTTACTCGGTATTCACACTTATAATCATCGGTTTAGGTGTTAACATACCTGTAATTAGCCGTACCGTGGTTAGGTTAGGTCTACGGGTCAACGGTTGGCACGTATTGCGACTCAGTTAGCATGCGAGCATAGTTTAAAATACACAGTATACTATAGATGAACAATACACATGGAACAGCTGGAAGCTCTTTTTGTAGTTCACTTTTCTGTCAATAAGGCTTAGACTGGATTTCAAACATAATAGGCCATTTGTTTTATTCTGTCTTCAGCAGCTATGCTACACGTTTCCACCATTGAGCTCTCCCAGTGACCCAAATCTACACTAAAATATATTTTCTGTTGTACGCGTTGCCAATCATAACATGGGCAATGTTTATCTAAAGTATATATTTTAACCTATGATATGAGAAACAGTTGACCACGACCCGAGTTGTCTGAACCAATAGTTACATTCTAGCTTACAGCAAACGAATGACTGAAACAGTAGCTCGAATAAAGGGGGAACACTTAGAGGGGCTTAGATTCACAAATAAAATGTCTTCAATCCACACCCTCCCCTCTAAAAAGATTTAAGAATATAGAGTTATATTATTTTATTTACAGAGCTTAATTTGACCTTTTATTTGGAACAAAAACTAAAATACATCCACTTTTTTCCAAATTTTATATTCGTTAAATCCAAATTTGATATTTTGTTTTACGTTCAAAGTTTATACACATAATTATAAGCTCGAATTTTTGTTTATGAAGATTTAGATTTTCGCTTAAAATTAGACATCATAACTAAACAAAATCGTGAAAGCTAGACTTGACTAAGAGGTAGGATGTTTTTTTAATATTGCCATGCCAGGTTGACACGCCCATTGCTTTTAAACTGGTCAACTATAAAAATAATAAAAATAAAAAATTGTTTTTTTATTCCGAACATCGTTAACTAATTTATTCAAATGATAAAAGACAATTGAAAACAAATTCACCTCGTTAACTATAAATGGAATGACTCTGTTAATCCATACGACAGTTTTATTTTTGAACATAAATGTGGCCTAAGTAGATGTGGAAAGACACACTAATTGAATTTAACAGTTGCACAATCGTGAAGGCGAATTGAGCAGGTGACATGAAAATATATACTTGGATTCGTTACTTCTAATTTTCTAGTATGTAAACCTCTAAGGGATCGTATTGAAATGAGTATGTAGGTAAAGGTTTACAAAAAAGGATAATAGTTGTGTACAATAAAGGGAGCGAAATCTCTGTATTGTGGTACACCAGATGATGTGGAAAACTGGTCAGAGTGCTTTAAGGCGTTTCAAAAGTATGTTTTTGAAAATTTTTCCTGATCGCCTGGCTGTACAAACCATTGAAATATCAAAAATATATATATATATTATTGATATAAATAAAATCAAGTTGAAAAATATCCCAAAAATTTGCATAAAATGTAATACAGAATATAGAACATATTGGCAAACCTTTAAGTTGCTAAAGTGCTGGTAAAAAACGTTATACCCAACCTAACTGTTATCAACGACAAAAAACCTACAGCCTCTCTGGTTGATGACGTTAAAGGTAATATGATGGTGATGGAGATATTATGGTGTTAGGGATAAGGTAAAACAAGGTTAATAGAAAATGTAATTGCCTGTGTTATATTTCCAATAATTATGAATTGTGAATATTTATGTGTTTAAACGCCAAAGTTATAAAATGGTTGTTGGATACTTATATTACTAATAATAAATTGTACTTTAATATTGCTTCAAGTTCACCAGTCCTGTCAGCATTACCACCCTGCGAACTCGTCGCTATTAATCTCTACTTATTTTTTTTTTCACCGTCTAATAGTCGTTTTTTTTTATTCTCTTTAATTAAAAATTCTTCCTTTAATAAATAATTAATACTCGTTTAGTCTACGTTGATTTGATAATTATTTATTTAAATGGTCATTAGCATTTACCGCCTCGGCGTAATCGCTTAAAGATTAACGATAAATACTTAATATAATAAGATAATAACGTGCTAACTGGTTAAGTATAACGGTTAGATTATTCAAGTAATTGTGTTTTTTGTAATCCAACAGATCAAAATTCGGTACATAATCTAAAAACACACACATACCGGATTAATCTTGTTAATACATTTTTAACAAAATATTTTTTTTCCTCTAAATTATTACCATCTCTCAAGAAATCAATAAAGGTCGAGATTAACTTTTTGAATAAATAGTCGAATTACTTTTAATTTTGTACGAGCTATTCTTTATGCCTTTTCCCAAAAAGGAGTAATTGTTACTTTTTATTTATTTCGCTTTATTCGTTTTAGCACTTAGGATCAGACAATCAGACTGAAGACGGATCTAGTGTGACCCTATACAAATAACAAAGTAACTTTTTATTTTAAACGTTTCGATCGTTAAGGAAAACCAGAAAACAAATTACAAACCCGATAATAATGATATAAAAGTTATATGAACAGTTTAAGGTAAGCCTATTTACTTTAATTATAGTTTTTTGTTGAAAATGTCTGTTAGTTTTTGTACAATAGAATATTTTCAACTCAGAAAGTTAATTACACACATATATATAAATATATATTTTTGTGATTTTTTAAGTTTGTTTATCGATTCCAAAAATCATATAATAATATTTTAAAATATACCATTTTTAATGTATAATATTATAATTTATTTATACTTAATAGTTTTTATCAGGTACAGTTTCGCATCGTTCATTTGAATGTGATTTTATCGCTTGATAATTTCTGAAGACCTATGACCTCCCGGCCTTCAATTAGCTGCGTGCGTTGCTTTAGGTCTTGAATTTATTATTTTTTTTTACAAGTAAAAAACAACCTTTCAGCGCTTTAATAGATACAATTAGTATTTTAAGTTTTAACTGTGTTTGGAGGCCATTTGAATCCGAAACGAGCAGGCGGAAGTTATAATTACGGATTACTGTGTGTAATCCTGGAAGCTCCACCAGGATAAATTTATGTATTATGTACAGCAATAATGTAATAACGGCAATGTAGGTATTATTATTGTAATAATAATATAATAGCATTACCGTGACCGGATAATAGTAATAATAATATTATTATCGTACCTTTTCACAGTCCAACGCTCTCGGTTAACACACAAACAACAGAATCTGACTGTTTTGTTTCATATTTTTTAAATAAAACAAAGTCCCTGTCTTAGTTGACCAACAATCCGGTCAACTGAAAGTGATAAATTACGGTCAAAGTGCAATTTTCCCCTACTTTTTGGTTTTTTCCTTAATAAAAAAAAAAAGTGTCCCTACTGACCCTTTCTAAAACTACCTCCGGTAAAATGTACAGATCATATATTCTTAAAACTTTACTTTTAAGGTCAAGGGGTGAATTTTTCAATCTAATAAAGTACATCGAAGCTAAAATATAACCAACGTGAATATTTTGTTTGTTTATTTTCTCACCGTTTTTGTGTTTAACGCAGTTTTTTTTGTTATTCTGTTGTAATATATATTTTTTTTAATATTGCTCGTGCCGTTCTGAACGGTTGCTTTACCAAGAGATTATATATATATATATATATTTAATACCTGCGCGCAATTTATGTATGTATTCCTATCGTTATCGGGATAGCAGCTCGTTCCCAGTATAATACCGTCATTATAACATTGAAGACCTAAGAGAGATGCATTTTGCGGAAAACGGATTTACGCGCTTTTGTATATAACAATCCCGTAATGGCTTTTATACAGGACATAGGATTTACAACTAAAATATAAAATACATTTTCACCGGCTCTTCAGTGAACGTGGACGTGTGCACACAAATATAACATTATACTCTTCTATCTCTGCACTTGGTAAGGCCAATTTTAACTGTCTGTGAATCATTAATGGCTCAGATTAAACGACATTACGCTATGAACGTTGGTAAATGTTTAAAAACAATAACAATTGGTTTTTATAGTGGTAAAAAACTATATGTACTTAAATACCCGCAATATCGTAAAAAAAATTATAATGTTCTAATTTATATTACCGGCTAATTGTGGGGCGATTAAATTGCATTTTACATAATATTGAGTAGGTACTGAATATATCGTTTACCTACTTACCAAAAATTGTGTTTATTTAGATTGAATTTGAAGAAAAAAAACAGTAAATTCTATTTGATCTTTTGGTCATTATTAATTGTTATAGTACACTAGTGAAATCATACAGCTTTAATCTAAATAACTAATTAAAAAAAAAGTCTTTATTTACCGACTACCTTGGCCGTGTTGACAATATACAAGTATGCTGTATATCGTACTTAGTTACACAAATTTACAACTACATCTATAAATTACATTGTATTATTAAACGAAACAGTACTGGAAATCGAACGGTATGCGCGTTCATTTTAGCTCTTCCAGAAGTTCTTAATGTATATAGCAGCTTTTTCGGCAATCATCACTGTCGGAGCTATCGGATTGCAGTTGGGTTGCAGTGGCATGATCGACGCGTCTACCACTCGAATTCCTTTGACGTTGTGGACTCTTAGCTGGTCGTCTACAACAGCATCGGGGTCGGAGGCCGGTCCCATCTTAGACGTGCCCGCATGATGGTTTTCGCCCGTTGAATAGAATTTGATGTAACATCTCCAATAAGGGTCGGTGTCGAACGTTAAGTGTCTACATTCCCTGACTGGAGTACTGTTCAGCTTGGCGCCATAGCGTTGCAGGGCTTTTGTGTTGGCCAGTTCTTTAATCCGTTTTATGCCCCACAACAACACCTCCGAGTCCGTGTTCACCGTCAAGTAGTTCGGGTCGATTATCGGTCGGTCGAACGGGTCGGGGCTATTGAGTTTTATGGTTCCTCTACTGTGAGGTCTCAAGTTCACCGCCCTTATGGCTAGCTTTGCCAGGTGATGCGGTTTCTGACAACCGAAACGGGGCTGGGCGTTTTCGCATTTCGGCACAAACCCGTCGAAGAACAACTGAACGTCGGCCGGTTGATTGGCGTTTATCTGGTCGGATTTCAAAAACGCCGAAGCCTGGAGAGCGCCAGTGGTGGACAGAGAACCGCTCTTGTTCTTCAAGTATCGGAATACCGATTCATAAGAAAGCACTTTGGAGTGTGTGACGTTCAGTTGAAAATCCAACTTAATGGCCACGTGGTGCTGGAGGTTATGACCCACTCTTAGGTTCTGTACCAGAGGTATTCCCAGACGTTTGAGGTCTTCTTCCGGTCCGATTCCCGACATCAGCAGTAATTGAGTAGAGCCGATTATCCCGCCGCTGAGGATCACTTCCTTTTTGGCTATCAGTTTGTAAGTCTTGTTGTAGTTGGTGTCGACATACTCGACGCCGTAAACGGTCTTTTTGTCCGGATTTACCAACAGCTTTGTCACGTACCGGTTAATTTTCACCTTGAGGTTATTGCGGTTCAAATGCGGTCTGATGTACGACGATGGCACCGTTTCTCGAATTTCTATGTCGTTGGTCATCGCCTGAGCCAGAGAAAATCCAAATGGTTCCGGCTCGCTCATGTCGATCTGCCGGTATCCCAATTGTTTGCCCGCCTCAATGATGGACTTGGTTATGGGCAAAACTTCTCTGGGGAGCATCACGGGGATCGGTCCCTCGGTGCCGTGTAACTTCAAGTGTTCGCCGCTGTTGTAGTTCCTATTGTCTTCGGACATCTTGAACACCGGCAACACGTCGTCGTATCCCCAATTAGGGTTGCCGCTCTGCAACCAGCTGTCGTATATGTGGCGATTGCCCCTGGAGTACATGGAACCTATTCGGCCAGACAAACACACATCAGTCAATTGCGGTTTCGATGGCGATATTACTAGGTTCACTTACCTGACAGGGCGACCGTTCCTCCCAACAGCTTTCCTCGGGGCCATTCGCACACTCCACCCGTGAGCAAACAAGCGTTCTGCTGCGGAGCCGTGACATATTTCCAATCGTATTTAGTGCCCACGGCGCTGGACAAGAATGCAGGGATGTCGGTAGCAGCGGGTTGCTCGGGACCGGCTTCCAACAGGACCACCGTCCACGCTGGATTTTCCGAAAGCCTGTCAGCTACTACGGGACCTAAGCGGGATCATGCGAACTTGCGTTAGAGATTTAGCTGAGATTAAGACACTGGTATGTGTGTATTACCTGCCGCTCCGCCTCCCACGACGATGAAATCGACTTGTTCTTGGTCAACGTCATCCGAACGATCGACGACTCTTCTGCACGCATCGACCAAGTTGCAATCCGACGATATCAGCGTTTCGATCGTGCTCATGAAACGGTTCAGCTGTCTGTTTCCATTACAATAGTCTTTCAGGAACGGTTGTTCTTCGTAACCTTTGCCGGGACACGAACCTATAGTAACACACAAAAAAATACATACATAATAATTAATCGTGGGCATTTTTTTTTTGACGACGACGACGATGACGTCGTTAAGCGGTTTACCGTCTGAACTGTAAGTGTGTTTGGACAACGCCTGTAGCGTGCACAGACATAATAATTGAAAATAAACGATCAAATTCATTTTTCCTAAAGAAATCTCAATCGCCGAGTCCGGAACGTGTGCACTGTTTGTTCAACGAAGCGCTATAATTTAATAAATGCAATACAAACAAGCCGAAAGCGCAGTTATAGTGCGGTTTGCTGCAATAACCATACGCGTTTCGATTATTATTGTTGACACGTGTAGTTAATATCTCGATTACAATCAATGTTTGTGTAACACTATACAGCGTGTGGTTTTAATGAGCACTGGCCTTTTGTATGACCCGTGTTTATTAGATGTATGCATGTACGGTCTGGCTGCATCCGGGATGTTGTTAGCAAGTGTTGAGTGTGGTACGAGTAGTACGGAAACTTTTTTAAATTTTTAATACTTAACAACAACAGTCGTGCGCTTTGTCGGCCTTGTATACCATCATCTAGTATTGTTGCTGTACGGTTATTTTATAAACAGTAGCCGGGTTATTTTTGTTTGTTTTCGGGTCATATGCATTCCACTGAATGATACATAATATCTCGGTGGACTCGGATCAGTTATTGAAAAAGTATAGAACAAATAAACACATATTTTCCATAATATTGTGATGAAAGTTTTAGTGCATTCGTAAAGCGGTTTCCAACAAACAGTATGTGTATAAAGTATCGAATGTCGACAAGATTATTACTATATTCTGAGTGCTATGTATGGAAATTTCAGTTGTTATTGCGAAAGAACAACTACTACCATAATACAATGTGTATAATGATTAGGAAGAAGAAATAAAAGCAAGGAAAATGCGATGAATTTAATATAGTAAGATTTAATATAGTATTAAGATAATGTACATTTTTTTAAATACCTAATAACACGGTAAATTAAACATAATATTATGGTAATTAATATAACGTAGCACATAAAAAAAATCTGATTTTTTGGTTGTGTCTACTCTTTGTATAATCATTGTGATTGGACTTGGCGAAGAGAGGTAACAGGTGTGTTGTGTGATAATATATGCAACTAAGAGTGAAATGATTTTGTTTGTGAAACGGTTGTGATAAGTAAGGTAAAATGAAAGGAAATATCATATCTGATATGATAATTACATATTGTGTCATGTCCACCTGGCATCTCAGATTAAGTAAGGTAGAAATCAATAATAAGTACTTATATATAATATAATAGTTTAGGTCTTGTCTCAGTAGTAGGAAAAAAAAGAGGATATATAAAAGACCATTGTCGAGGGTCCTGTAGGTAGAGGTTGGCTGAAGAAAACGCTGAAAGATGTAATGAGAAAGGATTCTTGCAAGAGATACGATAAAAAAAACATCAACTAAATTTTTTTTCTGTCTGGTACGGCCTTCTCTATTACCATGATTAATATGCCTACCTTATGTTTTAATCAGGTTATAGAATGTTCTTTTTTTAAGGTTATTCAACTGTACACATTACAATATTATTTTAGCTTTGACGCGGAGCTGAGAAGGTATTTTTTTTTACATTGATGTGTTTTTACTTTTTTTTTCAAAACCGAGAAAAACTACTTAAAATTACGGCGCAACTTTTTAAAAGAAATGGTCGAATTGGTTCCAAATTTGTAGGGAATATGCTTTAGACACAGAACCACCGATATATGTTGACCAATCAAAATATATCATAAGCTCTTTCCCCTGCAAGGGCAGGAAACTTTCTTTATTTCGCTTTTTCAGGTGAAACTTTATGGTTTAAACTAAAAAAAAAAATTACACTTTGACCGTAGTCAATTTTTAAGTTGCTATGTGTGAGTTAAACAACAGTCATCAGGTATTTTTAATATATATATATATCAATTATTAATTATAATATATAGGTAAATATGTCAATAAATTATTTTAGACAGACATTCAACTCTAATCGTATTCACCCAATACCAAAAATGCATTTCTAAGCATATTATTGATTATTATCTACAATGCTTATATTGGTATTAGTATTGCTACCATTAAAAAATTCACATGGAAGCGTTTGTTTGAAAGTGGTTATATCATTTTCAGTTGTAATAAGTCATATGACCACACTCGACCCAATATATGCTTAGTCTCCACTATGCCCCACTGTTCTGGTTTTTTTTTAAGTACCTTTGCCTTGATTGAGTGGAAGAGGCAGACTTCTCTGTTTCGAATTTTAATTGAAAATAATATAGAAACAACAGTTGGAACAAGAAGTGAAGTAAAAAAAAACAAAACTGCAAAAAAAGTTGTACACTGTTAATTGTTTTTACATTAAATGTTTTGAATCGCGTGGTGTCGATGTGCCACACTGTTTAATAACATATCAAGTTTTATGTTATTATAATAAATGTTAATCCGTTTGCTTATGATTGCCCCCGCCGGACGTGTTTATGACAGCACAAAAACTGACTAATGAATAGTCAATTATATTATTAATATTATTTAATTATTTATTTAAATGTTTTTTGTGTAAAATGATGGCGCTTATCGTTAGCATACTTAACAGATCGTTAATGTCAATTTATTGTAACCGAGTATTTAGCATAAATACACAATGTTACACGCATGTATAATATCAATAAACGATTCACTCTTTTTGGGTGGTTTGTGTATCACAAAGGGATGGTCGTTTTATCGTTTAGCTCGGATAAACATAAGACTGTTGGGACAACAGCATAGCCCTATAAAGAAATGGGCAGTGGATAGATAGTGGAGAGAGAGAGAGATCCGAGGGTCAATCACAAAGGAGATAAATCAGAGAGGACACTAATCATTGGTTTTCGGATGGAGGCCGCCATCTTGTCATTTATACTAAAATTAAATCTATTGTAGAACTAATGTATTGAAAAAGCGTTATACTGATTGATAAGTGAGAAGATGGCCGCCTGGTTTTTGTAGTGATAAGTATGTCATGGAACAAACAGTTAAATATCATGGAATAACACTAATATAACTATCACAGACTATCTTTGACTGATCTGTGACTATCTGTGATAAGGTACGATAATAAAATTATAAATTTGATCGTAACCTATCAAATAACTAAGGTATAAGCACTAAACTAATATTTTTTTCTTAGTTTCAATTTAATACATTCCTTAGGGGATCTCATACTTTGTCCATGTCTTTCATACCCTGCGGCGGTAAAGGCGGGGTGTGTGAGAGGCGCAGCCTATTTCTTTATTAGTCTATATACGGTAAAAAGAGTGTCTCGTGTAGAACCGCTCGGTTGTATTTTCTTTTCTTATTTCGAACAGGAAGGAGTGACTTTTTTCGATAAATTTTGATCTTCTCGAGATGAAGATACAGGCAGATAAAAAAAAAAAAAAAATCCAATGCTATTTTGAATAAAAAGGTATTTTGTAACCGAAAAAAAAATGTCACGTCATCAGCTTAGTCGGTGATGCGATTTCGGCACGATCGTTTTCACTGACATTTATTGCACCCTTGCGATTTACTTATAAGTATAATACATTGTGTTTATTTGTATATTATACTTATTTTTATACGCGTGTATTTATACCCATGGGTTTGGGTTCCCGGTTGGAAAAAAGAACCCCCGATACAATAGAGCCGCCAAGATCTAAGAGGGATTTACTTTCCGGAGAACGCGCTTTTGAAAATACCATTTTCCGTAATGACTTTTATCCGGGAAAAAATATTATACGTCTACAACCACTCTTTGGCGGTTCCGTATTCAACTGGGGCACCGACTGTAATATATTATGATGCTTGTGTACGTTTTGTAAAGTATTGGGTGTACAGGGTGTACCACTAAGGCACGTAACGTCTTATGTGTTATGTAATAGGTATTGGCGCAGACCAGCGCGTTACACACAATGGTTTGTTTAATGAGTGTGTATGTCAATAGTTATGCGACAGCTGCAAAACAAATATTGACTTACAAAACAAATAAAATATATGTATTTTTTTTACCAATTTCGTTCACATATTTGTACAGCGAGAAAATGATTGACCGTATATTTTTTTGTCAAACGGATAAAGACAACTTCCAAGGGATCGGTGGTCTTGTGGACATTTAGAGGGTACAAAAACCATTGACACTCGAATGCTAGCTGATCGGTTTCTCAAGATATGTCAAATTTACATTTTAAAGTTTTCAAGAATTTTAATAGGACAATCTTATCCAAATGTTTTGTACAAAAAAAAATTTATGAAATTGGCTTTTACTTTCTCAAAAGAAAACGGGTGGACCGCTTCAAACTGATCGCCCTGTATAGCGGAGCTTTAAGAATAAGAACCTTAGGATTCGCGAAAAGACGTTGGGATCTTAATAATCCTGTTCGCCTTAAAGTTCTTCATTGTTCTCGTAGAAAGATCAATGTAGTTGAAAACGCATCAGGAAAAATATTTAATATGTACATTTTAGATAAAAATTAACCCCGTTCAGAGTATTTTAAATAAATAGTATAAACGAAAGAAACTGATTTATAGTCCTTTAAAGAGTTGTGTTTTTATAAATAAAAGTATCCATTTTTTTTAAAGTTGCATATTTTGAAATAAACAACTACAACACAGATATCTTACCCGATTCGCCTTCTTTATTTGTATCTAAAAGATAGAAAAACAACTTAATTAGGTAGACATTATAAGCAGCACAACGGATTACCAATTAACAAAAATTCGCCAATAAAATGTAAGTACTAGCTGTCTTGATCTAATGTGATTAAAAATTTAGTGTAACCGAAACGTAAAATACTTTTGAGCTGGCTATAGGTACTCTAAATTTCTTTAAAACGGTAAAGGATGTCAGTGTGAATGTTACAGCTGTACTTTACTCAGTCGGATGCCTTATTTATTCACAAGTTTGTGTGATATTTCTCACATGCTTACTTTACAAAACCTACTGAAACATTCATGCTGATGTTTTATAAATTACCTGCAGATAATTTCCACAAAATGTAGTTACTATCGTAAGAGAAAACATTTTTTTTTTTTTTCATTTGCATATTTAATAGGTGCAGAATTTTGTTTAACATCAAACAATAATTGTATTATCCTCTAGAACATTTACATTTTTGATTAATGACATTAACATTGTGAAAACAACTCATCGCAGTTAAAACAAACGTCAAAGCTAAAATGTTTAGCAAGTTAAAAAACGTGTGTTGTGACATAAATTGATCGATGATAATCGTTATTACACTGATTATTATTTACACTGTTGTCACACAGATAATTGTGAAATAATTTTTCTAATAAGAATTTGCACAACACTGCCTGTATACTATAGAGTATAAATATTG